CATGTGTCTTGCAAGGTTTTTATTTTCGGGGTTTTCTGTGGAACTGCTTTAGTTATTCAGCTGTATATATATACCCTTGCATCACTTTTGTCTGCTTAAATAACCGAAAAAGTTTATCATAGTCACACCTTGTGCTGCTTGAACTTATTTTGAAACAAATATTGCTGTGCTAAATGCGTTAGTAGAATTATATATATGATATGTATTAGCCTTTTCATTCCGAAAGCTCATATGATTGAGTCGAGTTCATTAGTCCAATGATTCTGTTTCTGGTAATTTCTTCAAGAATTGGTCTGATAAGAGTGAATTAAAAGTCCAAGTTTTAGTTATTACTACTGCAGGTCTGCAGTGGCGAAACCTTGTAGGCTCTTGCTGGTTATAGAAGGTAGACTAATATTAAGTTGAATCAATGTATGGCACTATGGTTCTGTTTGCCTTGAGTTAAAATCCAGTTACCTCAAGTCAGGTGCAATTCTTGTCTGGTTTAGGTGATTGTGTATGTGATTCATTCTTGCCAAGTTACGAACCATAGCCTCAACGCTTCGCCAAGTTCACAATCCACCAATGAGGTCATGCATTTTGCTTAAATTGTGGTCATAACTCCCAAGTATTCGAGTAGATTAGATCCTTGGTACCAAATCCCTCCACCTTCATTGTATATATAATGATCTTACACCCCACCAAGCCTCACACGACTACATGAAAAAAATGGAACTTTCTGTCAGTTTCGACTCGATCAGAACTCTGAACATGTAAGGAGCTCTTATTTTACGGGGACAATGGGCCTATGTTTTAGATTATATGCATAAAACTCTGTACATCCACTAACTGGTACCACAATCTCCATTATAGTATTCAGTCAAACTAGAAAACTCTCAAGACAAATATGTTCAATACTGAAAAATTCTGAAAACTCTCCAGTTGTGTACAATAGTAGGACGCAGTAAATGATAATTCCTCAATTTGTATGTGCTGCTTAGAATTTTAGAAGCAACGTAGCTTATGAGCATGAAAAAGTACTAGTACTGGATTTACTAAATTTATTTTCATGTGTCCATTTTTCCAGAAAAGGGAAAATTTCACCTTTTTTTTTTTTTTTTTTTTTTTTTTAATGTGGCCAGCCCAAGCTTGACCAACCCATGGCTTGGCATACGCAATAACGTCTAGTCGTATCTACCCATGTTCATTCATTTTTCGGGCTAGGTTGTGTCATGGCTAGAGCTGGCCCGAGCCATAGGCATTTTTTTTTTTTTTTTTTTTTGGGTGTTCTAGCCGGTTTATTCTTTAGGCTAATTTAGATTTTGATATTTGTTTTGAATGGTTAAGTTCAAGTCTCTCCTAATTATTGTTATGGGGGGAATGAATACACATTCCTTTTTATCAAGTATCGTTCAGTATTCTTACTTTAACATGTTAATGAAGTGGAAAGTAGGATAATTGTTATTAGTACTAAGTTAAATTCCTAATGTAAAACACCTTTAGAACAATCACTATTAGTACTCTGTATCCAGCGTTTAAAACTCTATTCTACACTCCGGTCTATGTAAGAAATGCTACAAAAGTGTGCACAAACAACTTCAATCAGAGCATAAAAAAGTGGACAAGATGAATTAATGACCCCATGAAAGCACAAACGTCTACAATCTACCTAAATCACGTGAAATATGGACCTACAAATCAACATCTAAGTAAGTACAATAAATGAAATTATGTTCTTATATAAGTTATATTCCTGTAACATTGTTACTATGTTATAAAATGGACGGTCCAATTCAGCCTAAACATAATAGTAGGTAGTAGAAATGGACACTGAACCGTCAACAAAAGGTAACCCCATCACTGTGTGACAAACCTTTGATTCAATTGCACGGTTAGCTCGTTAGCACTTGGCGCAATCTTTTGTTTGATTAGCAGACTAGTTGCTGTTTTAGCATATGGTTTAAGATAATGACATGATAAAAGACTTGACTATTCATGTTAATTTGGAACTTGCATAAACATTTTTAGGATAAAGGTGATTAAGAAATAATCTCAAACTTAACAATCTACTATTTAATTTGCTCAAGTAATGGCCAATGGGAAATGAGTTTGCTAGATATTTTAGACGGTATCTGGCTCTAGGTTAATATGTGTAATGTTTATCAACTATATTGTGCATACTTTGTGATGTGTTTAGATTGGCTTTTGAGTAATTTTTAGTGGTTTAACCTACTGAAAGAATCTTAGTATTTATAATATAATGATCCGGTGGTTGCAACTTTCATCAAAAGTTAATTAAACCTACATAGTATATAAGATTTGAAAATCAAAAGTTATTATTGATATCTTTTATATTTTTTAAAAGATATCTAGTTTCACATATTACATCTTGTCAATAATTACTTAACCGGTTATATATTCTTCACAACTAACAACTATTTGATGGCTAATGTATAACAGTTAATACTTCACTTAAATTAAAAACTACTATCACAACTATGTTTTATCGAACATTGCCTTTTGAGTATTATTGAACAACTATTGTAATGCCTAAGTTACAGCTTACTGAGCAATTTCTTGCCTTGTGTCTTCCTAGTTTTAGATACATTTGCATGTATGATAAGGATTATATCTAAAGTTCATTAAAAATTTGTATCATTCATTGTTATTTTATTTTATTTTTATTTTATTTTTTAGCATATGTTTAAGGTAATGACATGATATCTACTGATAATTTGGAAGCTACATGCCGAGTTAGACTTTTTATGATAAAGATGATTAAAGACATAATCACAAACCTACCATGGATGAATTTATCTTAATTGTAAGGGCCAATGAGTGATGAGTTTGCTAGATATTTTACTAAACGTTTCTCAATTTTATTGGCAGTCTTGAAGTGCTATTCAACTATTATTGTGACTCCTACTTAAGCCTAAAACCCCGAGCAATACACCTTAGCGTACAGAAGAGATTTTATCCAACGTTTACATCATTCATTCATAAAATGAATTCTCTACCTACGGAGTATAATAATTAGAATTATGAATGACACCAATAACCCATATTGATATTTAATTATTCTTTAGATGGTATTATCAATTTATCATGATACCAAAATACTTCGTACTTATTAAGCAGTACCAACGGATGGAAAAATGTTTTGTTGGTATTAATACATAGAATAATTCTTTATTGGTAATCATATAACACCATATATATATAGGGGAGGGATCCGGTGAGAATAGGTTCATATGTGAGAATTCATATTTATATGAGAACTGATTTAAAATTTAGAACATATGAGTAAAAATTTAGAACATGTGAGTAAAAATTTAGAACATGCGAGTTAAAATTTAGAACATGTGACTCAAACTAAAATTCTGAACATATGAGTAATAATTTAGAACATTTGATTTAAGAATCAAAACAAGTGATTAAAAATTTATAAAATTAGCTTTATGAAATTTTAAACATATGAGTAAAATTCAGAACATCTGATTTAAGATTATGAACATGTGAATAAAAATTTAGAACAAATTGATATAGAATATAGAAAGTGCGAGTAAAGAATTTAGAACATACGTGTAAAAAAATAGAACTTACGCTTTAAAATCTGGAACATATAATTAAAAATCTTAGAACACACGTTTTAAAATTTAGAACATATAAATTAAAATTTTGGAACAAGTTATTTAAAATTTATGACATCAAACTTAACTAATTTATGGTTTTGAACATGTGAATACTAAATTAGAATATTTGATTTAATTTAGAACACCTAAGGAAAAATTTAGAACATCAGATTTAAAATTTAGAACATACGAGTAAAAATTTAAAATATAAAGAGTGTTCTCATATAAGAAAAATTCTCACGGCGTGTCATTAGAGTCATTTATGACTTAAATTATTGGAGGCAGAGAATTCCTCCATTCATTATAGTTTTTATTGTGAACGACATCAAGTATCATCCTATACCCAAAAACTCGTAAATTTTTTAAGGCTTTGACCTACCTTGTACATGCAGTTAGACTAGTTTTAGAAGAAAAAGAGTTCTTATTTGAGATCTTTTAAAACATACAAGCAAGTATAACGAGCTGATCTTTTTTTATTAAAACGAACTTGACTTTAGATCAAACTCAATTTCAATCAAGTTAAAGCAGGTTGAACGTGGACAAGGCAATTTATTGCACATTTACCCAACTATTTAGATGTACCAACACCCATATAATGCATGGACATGCCATAAGCATCCACGTAATGCAAAGTCATGATAAAATTGTACGTATAACTGTGTTAGGGGCTTGAGGCCAGGTTGATCGATATTGTAGAGTCTGTGTTTTTTGTCCCACAATTAATCTACTATGTCAGAGCTGGACTTCGGTCCGTACTAACTCAACCCATTATTAGTCACCTTAGCTAAGAGTGTGAAAAAATGTGTATTTTTTGGAAAGAAAAGTAACGCAAATAAAATTAAGAAAAGTTTAACAAGTTTGATAAACGGAAGACACATAATAAATTAATAATGTCATACTCTTGTTACGCATCTATATAAAACAGTAAAACACATATAAGAAAATAAGAAATAGAAGTGGAATAGAAGTAGAATACACTTGTATATTAACATTGTCATAATATAAGAAAAATAAATTTTAATGTAGTTACAAAGAATATTATTATATGTTATTTCATCACTTGATATGTAATTGTTGTTGTATCATACTACGTATATACCAACCGTACAATAATTACACTAGATATTTTTGATACATAGACTAATAGAACTATACAACTAGACAGTGACAGATCTTGGCCGAAAGCATTAGAGGAGCCAAGATTTAAATATTTAACCTCTTACTTAAAACTAATCACTATACTCTAATATTTTATAGGTAGATAGATTGTTTTAGTTTATTAACTAATTAATTACAATGAGAACTGGGCCCCAAATGACCCTGGTGAAAGGTCCCCTCTGGAACTAGCCACTTAATTAGAGTATATATAAGTGTGAGTTCTCACTTCTACTCTCACTCACTTCACTCCCCTTCAATACTCAACTCAACTACTCCCTTAAAATAAGACCTCTAAGACAAAAGAATAATTTAAGCAAATAACCTAAGGAACAATAATAAAAATGTTATTAAGGAGTTCATCAACCCCTATCTTAAAATCATGGATTCCATCTTACTACAACAACTCCAACTCTTCTCCTAACAACATCAATGAACCACAAACACCACCATGTCTTTCTAGAACCAACTCTATCTCCACCCGAACGCCGCCGTCTTCCCCCTCATCTTCTCCCAACCTCAACCCCAACACTAACACTAATGGTGGTACTTACAATAACCATTTTAGAAGAGGTACTATATGCACCCCCTATGAGCATGAACTCGACGACCCACCCTACCCTAAATCAACACCGTTGCAAAGGATGTTCTCGAGCTCACGTCTCGATGAGGAGGTTTCGACGGAGGATAGTGGTGGAAGCGACGGTGGTGGTGGTGGTGGTGATGGAATGTATGGTGGAGATGGGTATGGTGGTGGTGGTGGTGGTGGGTCCGGGTTTAATGATAATAGTAATAGTAATAGTAATAATAATGAGCATGGAAATATAGAAGCATATTATCAAAAGATGATCAAGTCTAATCCTGGAGATCCTCTCTTACTTGGTAATTATGCCAAGTTCTTGAAAGATGTAAGTTGTTCTAACTTTAATATATATATTCTTTTAGGTAATTACATTTTTATAAAAGGAAAAAGAAGGAGCTAAATATGAAAAGAGTTCACAGTAAATAAATATTTATTACACCGATTTACTCGTAAATTGCCGATGTGTCAAAAAAAAAAAAAAGAATTGCCGGTAAATTTCAAACTTAATACTAAAAAAGAAAGTATATTAAATGTTTATATACGGCCCTAAGGACTGCATATAACATTACCCTTTATAAAATAATATTATACAAGCATAAATCATTAATATATATTTGGGTACATTGATGATATAGCATAAATGAGTCAAAACTTTTTTTTTATTTTTTATTTTTTTAACACTATATCATCAAAATGTTATATGTTGCTTTGTGGGGCTCAATAAGTATAAAGAGTTTAAAATAAAGTACACCGTACTAAGCATAAATAAGCATTAATTATAATTTTGTAACGTGATTTTGTCATACATTTATTAATTAATCTTATATTATTACAAAATATAGTTTACTCTTAACCATAAACAAAAGGATGAATTTATATGACGGAATTACGGATGCTAAATATTTTTTTTTAAAATGTGGCAAAACAGGTTTTAGTTTTCAGGAATCTTAATAATGATAAAGAAAACAAAATATTAATTATGTACGAAGTATGTAGAATAGAAACTTTTTGTTTGATATGATTATGATTATGCAAGTTCAGCGCCTAATAAAGACAACTTAGTAAGCATACTACGGAGTATGATTTAGATGTAGACAAAATAATACTCCAAATTTAGAATTGAAAAAGAGCAAAATTAAAATATTGATTTATAACCAATTAAGAAATTGTATTGCTCGTATCATTTTATGAATTATCCTGTTTATTTTCACTATTAATAATGCTCACTAATTAAATGATTGTGCTGTGTGCATGAGCTATGATGTCCTTCCCCTTCATTTGCTTCTTTATTTTTATTGTAAAAATCAATTCAATAAATTTTAATCTTTGTTGGTAGAATCAACCGTTGATGGTTAGCTATATATGTACATTTGATTGGTCTCTTTGCAAGCTCGTATTATTAACCGTTAGTATCAATTGCCCGTTATACTTAGACTAGTTTAAATCCCGTGCAACGCACGATTTTTACTTAATCAAGTTATGAAGCAGTAAATTATAATGTTAATACAACAATAGTTTTTTTTTTCAAAAAAAATAATAAATTTTTAATTGAAACAAACACTTGAATTTCTTTTTTAAAAAAAAAAAACTTGAATTAATATTATATTGTTATCAAAATTATTGATTATTAAAAACTAAAAAAAAAAAAAACAAAAACTTAATGATTATAGTGTTTTATATGAGAATACAATTTATAATTATAACCCGTGCAATGTAATTATATACCCATATGTCCCTACTTTGTTGGCATGTTTTGACCGGCACAATATTTTATAGCATACTTTAACTAGCACAATGTTTTACAAATTTAATTGACTAATTTTTATGAAAATTAATAATCATGATTTTTTAATTTTGTTTTATATTTATGTTTATATTTATTTAATTATAGTTATTGAATTGTATTATAAAAATAAATAAATAAATATATAATAATAGCTAAAGTATCAAATCCTGGTTAGAGCAAAAAAACTTTCAAAGAAAAAATACATTGTAGAATGATACGAAGTAGGGGAGTAATACATTTTATTATTCTAATATATTACCTTATTATGTGTTTGTTTATTATAAAAAAATACCTATTATAAAAAATATGAAAGATATGCATATAGAATATATTTCGTATATATTTGCCAAATTGAAAGTAAAATATCATAGGATATATAAAATAATATTAATAAAGATTTTGTACAAAAAAGAAAAAAATGGAAAGAAAAAAGTGGCGGGAAAATTTTTAATCGGAACATGACAAGTGTCATGTCAGATTCGCTTTTAGTATTATGTAATTGATTGATTGTACGTGTTACTTGTGTATGTGCAAATTAATCACCGTCTAAATAAAATATCAGTACTACGGATCATATTATATTGTGCCATGCTTAATTATGACTTCATGAGGTAACAACGAACTTCTTTGACTTATTACATAAATGCCTTTCAAATTTTAAATAGACTCAGCTAAATGATTGGCTAGGTACGTGGAGATTTAGCCAAGGCAGAGGAATATTGTGGAAGAGCCATTCTGGCTAACCCTAGTGACGCAAACACGCTATCCATGTATGCTGATATCATTTGGGAGTACCGGAGGGATGGTGAGCTGGCGGAGAGCTATTTTGATCAAGCTATTAAAGCTGCTCCGGAAAATTGGTAAGCTAATTAAGTACTTACAAACACGTGAATAATAATTGTCACATGACACTGAGTCACTGATAGTGTAATATAAGCTAGTAACATGATAACTAAATTCGGACATATATGTACATACATACATATGAGATGTTAATTTGTGTGTGTGTTATAATTGATTCATGCCTCAGTTATATTCATGCTACATATGCAAAATTCCTATGGGATGTGGACGAAGAAGAAGTAGGAGAGGAAGAAAAACAAGACAATCATGTTGGCAGTCCAATTCCATCATCACCATCTTATACGGAAGAACTACATTATCAGTCTCCTACAAGGGTATGAATTAAATATCAAAGGTGGTTGTTTGATCATGAATTGAAGGTGTATCATTTTGGACTTTGGATCGTTTGATATCGTCATTTACTAGCTTTTTGTATATAAATATGTACTACGTATATTGTATGTATAATATGTAAATAGAGAGAAATTTTGAGAGTAAACAAGCATGTTAGAGATCCCCTATCAATTAGGGATTGGATTTACCGTCGTGGAACATCCTATTACATGCTTGAATTGGATGTAATATGTGTAGTAGTGAGGAAAGAAGTAGAATATTAATGCGACGTCAGATCTTTAGTTTATAAAATAAAATGTAACCAGTCATTAAGCTTTCAATATTTCCATTGTTAATTTTTTATTAAAATAAATAAATAAAAAATCCTTTTCTATTGATCTACTAAATGTACTTATTTAAGATGGAATTTTGATAATACGCTCTTCATTTTGAACTAAAGAGATGTTAATTATTGTGATGAACTAATGAAGTGAAGTTGAATGGATGGAGCTGGACTAAACTAAATCAAAGTGGATAATAATGATATTAATGAATAATAGAGTCAATTATAAAGTTGAAGATTAACGAAAATTAAATGAATGGACTGAACAAAATGTGTTGAAGTGAACTGAACCAAATTATTGAAAAGTAACATCATAAATTTTACTCCATCATATATATTCATACCAAGTACTAATTATTCAGTTTTAAAATTAATCTGATACAACGTACTCGTCTTATATTTCGTACTAGAAACTACAAGTCCTTGTAATTTGCAATATTGTCACACTCTAGCTCTTTTATAACGATTCAAGTAATATAAGACGATTAAAATTGACAAATGACCACATGGACCACTAAAATGTCACATCCTTAATTAGACTAACATCAATACCAGACATAGAGATAATGTTTGTTTGATGGAGACATAGAGATAATGTAATTTACATTTTCCAATCTTATATGGTCACATGGACTATATGTATCCAGAATAAGGTGAATGAGATGAATATAAATTTTTTGGAGTAACTTTTTAATTTTATTGTGTACCGAGTATAAAATGGTGTTCATTAACAAGGTGGTATAGTGGGTGTGATTTCAATAAAAAATAATTTAGTTTTAATCTAATAGGTTTAAACAACTACGACTGTACAAGTAACAACCAATCAAATATGGTATAGCCACACCAACAATGTCATCGTTCAAAATTCTTGACAAAACTTGAGGGGCACCAATTAGGAAGATGATGTGGTTGATAAGACTTTGTAATTAGCTATTTGATCAAGATTTGGCTACGCAATGCAAATCAAATTTTGTAGGGTTATTGTAATTAATGAAATTAAAATTTTTTGGTTGTATTAAACTAATTTTGTTCACGTCAAACTCAAGTTATCTAGTTTCACACTCTTTAATTGGATCTAAATCAGTCAATTTTACTAGGCATAGGATGATTTAGTGCTTATGATCTGTAGAAAAGATGTTTAGGTTTTATTATTTTTAATTTAATTTTTGACAAATAAGATGTTGTTTATGTTGGACGAATAATTTCTGCTTGAATAAGGACAATATGAAAAATAGACTAGATTTTTGGCGCAAACCCGCTAAGTTATGGCGAAATATTGGCTGGTCGGGAGTAAGCTAAAGTCAAGTGATAAAGTGATTATAATTTTAGTCTTAAAGTTGAATATAAACGTACAATAGTATACTTTGTTCGGTGTAGTTTGATTTCTCAGGAAATACGTACAAAGTATGTTTGGTTGATTATTAAACTGAAATATTATAAGAAAATCTTGTGTTAATGTTCATGGTAATATTTGACCACCCGTCAAAAAATATTAAATTATTAAGAACAATTCATTAAGACCACATATCAAATACTTGACTGGATGTCTAGTGACTAAATTGAATGCAAAGTGAATTCTTTTTTCCGTGAATTTTCAGAAAGCGGAGAATTTTGAGGTTTGAATAATGTTTTCAACACATTTTACAAATGTTACAAGTGCATGGGACAAATGAATTTATTTCATACATTGTAATTAATAATCATCACTTGACATTACAACGTACCAGAAAAGATTACACAAGAATGAGCAAGCAAAATCTATAACAATAACAGCAGTCTTTTGGTTACCTTGGCCCTGAAAGTTGGACTGCAGAAACAGATGAACGACCTGTGGAACTGTAACTAGCACGGCGCCATGACATGATCTGACTTTTAACACCCGAACTCCTTACCAAACCTGTAAAGATCCGCGAGGCTGATTGAGAAGGAATCGGAGGCTGAGGCACAGGGCAAAGTCCTTCAAGCATTTGCACAACTCGAGTCATAGACGGTCTAAGGGACTTATCATCCTGTATGCACCACAGAGCGACTTTTATTGCAGTGTTCACTCTTCCATCTTGCTGATCTTCTACCTTCAGTCTCGGGTCCAAAATCAGATTCATACTCCCTTGTTCCATCATTTTGAAAGCGTATGATGGTAAGTGTGCTTTCTCTTTAACTTCATGGTCTGGATCATAATTCTTCCTACCACCAATTATCTCTAGCAAGACCATACCATAACTATAAACATCGCTTTTTTCAGAAATGCTGCAGTTTGTAATCCATTCAGGCGCTAAGTAACCCCTTGTACCTCTTAATGTAGTAACTATATGACTTTGCTCTTTGTTCATAAGCTTTGCTAAACCAAAATCAGAAACTTTTGCAACAAAATTTTCATCAAGGAGAACGTTTTCAGGCTTAATGTCGCAATGTATAATCTTAACATCACACATATCGTGCAGATAGGCCAAACCTTTGGCTGTCCCTAGAGCAATGTTGAACCTACTCTCCCAATCTAACTTGTTTTTAACTCGATCATTGTTCTTGTTAAAGATCCACCGGTCTAATGATCCATTTTCCATGTACTCGTATACAAGTAGTCTATGATGACTTCCCTCAGCACAGAAGCCCTTAAGCTTTACTAAATGGACATGATGTACATTTCCAATGATGCTAACCTCGGCCCTGAATTCCTTTTTCCCCTGCCCAACACCTTCGAGCTTTTTGACAGCTAATTTAGTCCCCTCATCTAACAGCCCCAAGTAAACAGACCCGAATCCCCCTTGACCAAGCTTCACACTGAAGTTTTTCGTTGCAACATCAAGATCATTATAACTGTAACGAACAGGTACTCCTGTGATATTCTCGAAGAAGTTGTCCTCCTCTAGAGCTTCTCTTGAGGATTCTAACACAAATGATCTACTCTTTTCGCGATAGTACCAGTAACCACATCCTAGGAGACCTGAGACAATCAATATAGTTCCGATAACTATGATAACTATTATGATTGTAGACCTGACATCAAAACCATTTCCTCTTGCAGGAATAAATTCCTTATGGATATAATCGACTTGATTGGAGACCTTAAGGGACAGATAATATCCAGCATCCCCTATACCAGGATGTCGAAGACTGCCTATATTGCCAAACATGAAGCAACTTCTAGTAGCATTCTGATAAAACATTGTAACACAGGAACAGTTCTGAAGGCAAGCAGATTTGCATTCACTAATACTCGATTTCATCTGTGGTTTTGTAAACTCAAGAGCAACATAATCAAACCGTGTTCCTACATCCAAAAGCCGAACTGATGAACTATCTGTAGCATTATCACAAAGGGCTGGAATTCGAGGTTTGCAATCGTTAAAAGATGACAGCATTACAGAACACTGACATAAATTCTCCATAAAACAGGACTTAAAAGGCGAACAAGAAGATGGTGTTGTACATGAACCTGAAGGAATCTTAAAAGACTCAGCAATTTCTGATTTTGCCTTCAGAAGATTGAAAAACTCTATTGTACCAGTTGAGCCTAAAACCGCGGCCCATAATGCATTCGGATCAGACTGCTCTGAGATGTTGAACTGCCAGACTAAACCACCTCTCTGATCATAAAAATTCCAAGAGTTTCCCATCAGTGTTGCAGAAGAGACCTTCCCATCAGGTTTTAAGACAGCTTTTCGCGTATCATTTGACATGATCCAGTAAACTTGTGGAGTTCTATAACCCGCAAACAGAATCAGATCACCAGACTTAAACATAAGATGATAATGCAGGTTTAGTTCATAAGGAAAACTTTTAAGTCTCATATTTTCGGAAAATGATTGGCCTAATACAAGTGTATCAGTAGGGTAATCGAAACTTTTCCAAAGAACAGTTTGATTTTTGCTAAGCAAGACTAAATTTCCATTATCCATCAACTCCATTGCTTGGACTCCTAGGCCAGTTGTATTAGAAGACCAAACAACAGAAGTTGTGTTATGTAAATAAGCATTTCCATTTTTGTCAAGTACAAATTTAGCTGAATTATCAACTAAAACACCTCTATTCGCGGTCCATATATTTGTGGAGCTAAATACATGCATTACTACTAGGACAAAAAATGGTGCATCTACACTAGTATAAAATCCAAAGGAAAATGTGGAGTTTTTTGAGACTAAGAACATTCCATTGAAATTATCCCATTCTTTTTGGGTAGCTTGAAAACCTGGCTTAATTTGATTAACTTGTTGATTGGTTGCACTAATTGTACAGTTAAATGTATGACTAAAATACATGGTAAAAATCAAAGAGAACAAAACATGAAATTTCATACTTCAAAAAACAGAATAGTTAGTTGAATTAGTATATTCTTTTTAGTAAAATAATTGTGATATGCTTATTTTTAAAAAAAGTAAGAAAGAAGGAGAAGAAAAAGAAAACACTTGGAAAATAAATTCTGGAAAATCTTGAGGATTTTCTTATAACGTTCCACCCTTTTTCTATTATGGGAAGTAGAATAGAGCCAAAAGGTGATAGTTTTATTTTGTAATAACAAATAAAGGGTAAATTTCCTCAAGTAGTAAGGGTTATTACTTATTATAGGAAATTAGAATAATTAAAAAGCATTTGTGAAATGATTATGTTATGGAGTGTAGGTGTTTAGCTAGCATGAAGTAACACAAGAAGTAAGCTAGCTTATCGGAGCAACTTGTCCTAGGGATCAGAAGAGTTTATATGAAAGCTTATCAACTCTATTTTAGATTAAAAAAAAATGTTAAACGTAGTCCTAATTATCATAAAGAATAAGCCTATGCTACATGGACTCTTCATTTCACCTTTATACCCGTGTTAGACTTTCGACACTCAGACATGGGTAAGACACTTGGACACTTCATTTTTAGTTCAAAATCATGAATTTTTTTTCCTTCTCAAAATAGCCAAGTTGGACATTTAGACATTCTTCCATGTCAGATTGTCAGGCATGGATATTCGAGTCCAAGTAACATAGGAGTAAAATAGAAGTGTATCTATAATTAGAAATATTAATTTTTACACAGTTGATATGAACAAATCAAATTATCAAAAACTTATTCAAATCATGCTCTGGAGTGTATAGGAACTAATATTTTAACGGAGTATATTTTTCCATGTTATCGAGAGATCTAAGGCTGCACACATATTGGGACTATAAATAATATTACTCACCATCAAAATGGTAAATGATAATGAAATCACATGGTTGAAATGAGTTTCAATATATAATTTTTATCAATAGTAAGGCATGGCATACTTTTAAAATAATACTCGTAGTTTGGATTTTTCATCGATGCCGTACAATCAAATTTCGTGTAATTTCCTCAGAATAGAAGTATAAAATTTAATTCATGATGATTTATCTTCCTAATTAGTAGATCATGTCTCTAAATTTAACCATAGATTTGTTCAATAATGTGCTTCGATTCACTCACTGCATGCTCCACCCTCCAGGAGGTACTAGAACACAATATTAGCCATATGAAAAATAGATAAATATTTTGGAGTAAATTATACTCCTGATAGCTTCCATCTAATAATATTTATCTCCGTATGAAAAGTAAAAATGAGAACTCGAATTTTCTGACCACTTCAAAAATAAAAAAATGAGTCAAACATTTAAGAATATAAGAGCAAGTTTAGCCCCAAGTTTTAAGACTTGGGGTGACATCATCATTTTAAGTCTTAAGACTTATGCTTAAGACTTTTCCCATTTTTCTTCAAAAATCTCAAGCAAGTCTCAAATTGAGTCTTGAAATTTCAAGACTTAACTTAAGACTTGAGATTGGGATCCACTACTCCCACCTCACTTTTATTGTTATTATCCTTTTTTTTTCTTACACTTTTCTACATTTAATATGTCAAATATTTAAGTCTTAGGGCTAAAGTGATAAATTTGTGTAAGTCTTAGTGAGTCTTAACAAGAATTTGATGACATCATTTTCAATGGGGACCATAAAAAATGATGTCACATTCAAGTCTTAAGACTTGGGGCTAAACTTGCTCTTAGGAGTATTTATAACAAAAATTATAATAACAAAGAAATTGATGCACTTATACGAAAAAAAAAAAAAAGAATTTTGATAGAAAATATCAAGGAGTTTTATATTGATCAATAGAAATGACTCTAATAAAGGACCTTTATATTGTCTTCTAAATGGCTTTGTGAGCAAGGGACTAAAAAAAAAAATCAGTTTTAATACATGGAAACTAATAATAAGCTAAGTATATATAAAGGGTAGCAACTTTTCTTGAAAAAGATGAGTTTAAAGGTTTGTTTTTCCTTTCTTTTTTTGTTTGGAAAAAGGAGTATAGAGTACTTTTATTCACCAATTATAATGTGAATTTATTCGCTTTTACTATTCAAAAGTTATTTTAATCGATTAAAACTGCATGTATTTGTATTTATTAATTATTTATTTTTTAAGATGAAGATAACATGTCAATGTTTTGTTAATTTCAATAAATATATTACTCCGTATTATTAACTTTATATATTTATCTTTGTGAGGGGGAATTCAATTTTTTTTTTCTTGAACTTTTATAAGCCACCACATAAACATTGCAAATGCTTCAATATAAAAATTTCACTCTTTGCATACATCTACTGATCTACAACATAGGCGGAATTCAGCAAGTTTGACCTGACATAAATTCTAAAAGTATACCCAAGGAAAGAATAAGAATATAAAAATTCCAAACTTAGAAAGTTTAATTTGGAAATCATGAAAAATGAATATTCATGAAGAGGACATAAACTTAAACCCAAATATGAGTTCACCTTTAATTTGCCTCATTGAAAAGGTATACCTTTGTTACTCTTAATACAAGATTCCAAGTCTCCTTTAACAAATGATCTAAAAAAAATCTTAATTTCTTTCTCTTACTTATGGAATCTTTGTACAAAATATCCATAAGTTCCAACTTCTTAATTGCATTTCATCAAAGAAACCTCTTCTTAGCTCCTATGTTCAATATTATAACTTAGACTTCCTTGATTATTCCCACATGCCTTTAAAACGTTACAAATAAACACTTCTTCTATTTATACATGGAATGGTTTATCAATAGTGTTAATCACAAGCCCTTCAATCAAATGGGGTTCATTTCTTGCTTCCTCTTTTCCCTCGCTTTCTTTTCTCATCATGGTATGTATAGCATTCTTCATTTGCATTTTTGGATCATTAGTTTCGTTTATCAAAGTAGATAACACGGGTAGCCAATTCAATTACATAAATTGATTGAGTATACATTTTAGGTTATTATTTATTTGAGCGGTAATATACATATCACAGCTATAAACTTGGATTTTCTTTAAGATGTCACTTTATGAAAATAGTCTAAACTAGTTTTTGGAATTGGACCAATGAATTACATGCATATGCATGTTTTGCTAGGTTTTTTGTTCTAGCTTAATTATTTTTCAAATACTAACTCATTTTTTTTCTTACTTCTTGCAGCTCTAACGGCAAATGCATTCACTGGAACATACGGTGTAAACTACGGAAGAATAGCCGATAACCTACCACCACCGGAAAGTGTAGTAACCCTCCTCAAAGCCGCGAAAATAAAGAACACAAGAATTTACGACGCTGATCATAGTGTCCTAACCGCGTTTGCAAATAGTGGAATTGAAATAATAGTAGGACTAGGGAACGAATTCTTGAAGGACATAGCCGCAAATGGAGAACGCGCCGTAGATTGGATCAAAGAGAACATAGAACCATTTGTTCCCAAGACTAGAATCGTTGGAATCGCGGTAGGTAACGAAATTTTAGGCAGCACGGGCGGGCAAGACCTATGGGAAGCCTTAGTACCCGCGGTAAAAAACATGTACCTAGCCCTCGAACGCCTTCAACTAGCCAATTCAATACAACTCTCTAGCCCTCACTCGGAGGCCGTGTTTGCCACGTCCTTCCCTCCCTCGTCGGGGGCATTTAGGGAAGAAATTATGCCTTACATGAGACCACTCTTACAATTTTTCTCCCAAGTTGGCTCCCCTTTTTACATAAATGCCTACCCTTTTTTAGCCTACATTAGTGATCCTACACATATTGATGTTAACTATGCCCTATTTAAGAAAAACCCCGGGATTTTCGACACAAAGACGAGACTTCATTATGATAACATGTTCATGGCACAAATCGATGCAGCTTATGCAGCACTAGAGAAGGTAGGGTATACCAAGATGGAGGTGATCGTGTCCGAGACCGGGTGGGCTTCCAAGGGGGATCCGAATGAAGTCGGAGCTACGTTGAAAAATGCTAGGACGTACAATTATAATCTAAAGAAGTTGTTGTACAAGAAGAAAGGAACTCCTTACAAACCTCATACACCTATTAAGGCATATATTTTTGCCTTGTTTAATGAAAATTTGAAGCCTGGACCTACTTCTGAGAGAAACTTTGGGTTGTTTAAGCCTGATGGTAGCGTTGCTTATCATATTGGTTTTACTGGGATTAATTCAGCTCCTTCATTAAAGGTACGATTCGTTATTTTTTATTTTATTTTTTTATCCATTATTCGCGTAATTACAATTGATAAGAGCTTGTTCGTTATTGTTGCTAGTATTGACTATTGAATTTTTACATAGTTTACGTATATAAATTATATAAAAATAATACTACATATCAAATAAATAAATATATAATGATCCACGTATGAAATTTAAAATTGACAATTGTACCAAAATCCGACCTTACTGTATAAAACAACAAATTACACTAATAAATTCAAATAAAATTTGGTACCACAAATAATGTAGTACTTGATTTTTTTACTAGGATCTAATTAATAAATTTCAATTTTTTAGTAAAATGAAATTAAATTGTTTTCTTTGTACATACATATATTACTTTATTGTGAATATAATTAATATTTGAAAAACTTATAAATGCAGGCACTTGGAGCACAAGGGTGGTTTGGATGCTCCTACTTGTTTCTAATTACAATATGCACGGCATCAATACTTTTGAATGTAATCTCCTAATTTTTTGGGGATTTTTTTTTATTATTTATTATTATTTGTGTAGCCTGTTATATATGTGTACATGGAGAACTTTAGAGCTAATGCAATTTTATAAAGTGTGTATGAAATTAATTCTTTGTACAAATATACCAAATTTCATAATTTAATTCTGAACGGCCTGACTAGTGCTGACTTTGATTAAAGAAATTTCTGTGTGTATACCCCTCCCCAACTTCTAAAGAACGTATTGGATTGATCAAAGTAACATTCATCATGAGCCGAGCTAGACTAAAAAAATTTATATACACAAGGGTACAAGGTGTAAAAAAAACTACCCTTAAGTGTACCTACCTCTATGCGTTCCTGGAGGTATATTAGAGGTGTTGGAGCTAAATCGGACTATATCCTAAAAAAATTTCGATTTAGCCATAAATTAAATCAAAGTAAATTTAGGTCGGGCATACATGTATAACCACAAAATCGAGCACGACCACATTATGAGTAGGGAAATCAGGAAATGGCGGCTCGAACCTGGCTGGCTGTTCATGCTCATGCTCAACTCTAATCAAGATACTCTCTTATTACAAAGTTCAATCATCATTCTGTCTTCTCTGTTTCTAATAACTCAATGAATAAACTACCCAAAATTGTCAATTTTTGTTGAAGTGTTTAACTGTGTCTTCTAATATGCCAACTAGTCCAACGAAATTAAGAGAACCGGGCCTATTAGTTGGCAGCCCTATTTTGCTAACATTCTTTCTATTATTGGGCCTATTGGGCCTCTACAAATCCTTACTCCCAAATATAAGTCATCAAACTTTTTAGAATCGGCCCAGTAATATGTGAGATAAATTCGGTATCGACAACAAAAGGATGGTGAGTAGCTTTGTAATATAAACCAAACTTTTGTACGGAGTACAAGTTATACTCGTATCCATTATTGCTTCAAACAAGTTTGGTAATAAAGCATGTTAAACACCATATAAGATCAATTCGTAATGTAGAATGTTATCACCGACTTCTATCATAATAAACATATGATATTATCTCGTAATGCGTATACATCTTTATTTTATATTTCATACACGTTTTGAATTTGCACCTCACAAACAGACTCTAGACTCTAAAGTCCACAACTAATAATTATAACATTTGATTGCTAAATGAGCTCTTCACAAATTAAAGTCTAGAGGTCTCTTCAATTCTCCAACAACCAATTATGCTCGATCAACTTCAAATTTGGTTAAGACTAATCATGGGATTCATGGCCATGTTTGGTCGGCCACATAAAGCAACATATGTACTACTATTTCATAATTTGTGTTGGTTCGTTCACTTAATTAACAACCTTACATAATGCTTTAAATATTGATTAGACTTAAAGAATCATTAACTTTTTCTATTCCAAGTATGCTAACAAAAAAGAAGATCGAGAATGTAATGAAAGATGAACTTTGAGAAAAAGACTCATGGATTTTTACTCTCCACCGGCCTAACATTCCAATGAACCACTTTATTATCGACCAATTGTCTTAAGTATATGTGTGTAACAAAATGAAAGGAATTTGAGGGAAGATTTGACATCAACATTGTTCTTAATCATGTGATTCCTTGAACTAATTAAACTAATCTGTTTTGAAGAAGATCGAATTTGATATTTTTTTAGTACGGAAGGTAAATTATTATGTGCACTCCAAAAGTATCATAGATCATTATTATTGTGCACATGCATATATTGGACTAGTGGAAGATCATATAATAGCCTATTATATACGATTATATACCACGTTATACCAAGTATAATAACAAGTTTTTAGATTATATATTGAGCTATTTGCAATTTTTAATCATTCTAGAAACATTAAATAATATAGTTCAAGAGATGGCCACGTACATAATAGGATATTGGGTTGGTTTAAAGCGCAGCAAATCTTTTCTATAATTATAATTATTAAAATTATCTGATCATATTTTTGTCAAATATGCTCACAACTGAAAGATCGTATATTCTCTTAATTATGATCTCATTAGCATGATTTGGCTTATACGGAGTATTAGTTATATACATGATGATTACAGTGTAATTATTGCTGATTAGCTGATATATTCTAAGAAGAGACATGCAACTAACTATGCAAGGATATTTATGGTGATCTCCAATAACAAACTCAAGGACGCGTCAAAAAAAAAAAAAAAAAAAAAAAAAATCAAGGACATGAAGCTAAATGATAAACTTTTAAAAAAAATTCGAATGTACATAATGACAATAATTCTCGAAATGTTATCATGATTTTTTACATAATAACAAGATTATTTCCATAATCCAATCCGATCCATCAACATACCGACACTCTGATATGTACAAGTGCTAACATAACCATTCTAATAAGACGTGTTCTCTTCACTTGATATATATTGAAATTAAATTATTTTGCTAAATTAAAATTATAGTTTAAAAAAAAATCAAAATCCATCACGTCAAATAAAGGTTCAGAATCATCTAGTTTATTAAAATAAAGTTCATTTATGTATAATTAAAAATGTAATTAAGATATGTTTAAATATTCAAATTTAGCCCTAGGCCATCAGGCCCAGGTAGTTCATGCATGGGACCGAAACACATGCATAAAGAAAGAGGAGGTGGGAAGACGACTCACACTTTGATTTAATAATTTTAATGATATGATGTTGATATGTTTGATGTTGTTGTTATTGAGGAAGACTGTACGATGAGTGGTGGTGGTACCCTAAATATTGATCAAGACATTAGACATGCATATAAATGGTGAAAATTAAACGTGAAAGAATATGAATGAAGGGATAAGTGGTGATTGAATTTGAAAAGTCCAAGTTTTTAGATCGTAAATTAACCTACACAGTGCCTTCACAACTATATTTTGCCCAACACGTCCTTAGATAGTAGATACAGATCAGAATATCTCTTGTTTTGAAGCTAAGTCTTTGACGTAGTTAAATTGAATTATTCATTTTCATTAGTAATTTTTTTTTAAATCACCTATATTGACTTTGTTAAAATATTACATATGTTAGTCACTTGCTTTGTTAGTATTCTAATTAGCATATATATTATATTTTTGGTATAAGTAACAATTCTATCGTTACTTTTGCATGTCACAATAGCTAATATAGATAGATGGTGGGGAACTCACCTTATGACTGTGTTCAGTTCAATTATCATAATCTTTTACTTATGAGCGAGGAAGTACATAATGTATACACTCCTCTCGCTAAGCTACTCTCAAGTATTGAACTGACTTAATATAGCTAGACCGACTAACATATGAAAAACGTTAATTTAGTAGGATCTTTGTCCTCGAAATAACGAAGTATAAGCGCAAAGATAATGTACAAAATGGATCAAGGGTTTGAATTTTCGCCGGGACCAGATGCACAAGTCCTCCTTAGCCGAAAGTAGGTTTGAAGTGGAAAGATTGCTTAACCCAAATTGTCTAACAAGTGTATTTTTTTTTTTGCTTAATTATTAAAAACAAAATTTCTTTGTAGTACTCGTACTAAACTATTACTACAAAAGCATTAACATACACGCCGCAAATGACCATTAGTAGTCATACTAGTTAACCGTATATGATAAAGTTTGGGTTAATATAGTTAATTACTTTATCAATGTGATCCGATGATCTACAAAAGCACCAAGTATATCTTTGTAGATATTGACTAACAACACCAATACAAATAAACAAGCTATAATAAAAGTAAACTAAAGTTAATAATCCTAAAAGAACAATCTATAAAGTTGTAACCTCTTGTTGTGTATGGACTACGGAGTAAAACTTTAAGAGAACAAAGATTTCTAGCTTCTTGTGGAGTTGTGGACTTGGACATGGAGATTTATGTCAAACATTGCTAACCAATCCTAACGGTTGATATTGACGATTTATACATATGAAAAATGTTTAAATCCAAACTAATTTCGTCTATCTATTTGGATTTTTATATATCATATTACCATTCACGTAGGATTAGTGTAGAGATTCATTTTTAAAATTTATACAGTACCATTCAAAATATTGTTATTGTCTGCTGGTGTTAAAAATTTTAGCTAAATTATTATATCCTCTAATGGTGTCTATCTTTTTGTTGTTGTTACGTTGTTGCCAGAAGATGCCAGTTGTTAACATAATTGGCTACATATAGATAGGATGTGGACTGCGTTAGAACAATTGAACATAAAAGAAGCTCGAGAGCATGAAGCTGCAAACTAAAAGGTGACATCTTTGTCAATTGTCATATTAGTGAGATGCACTAAACTTTCATGTCATTGTAAATGTAAAGCCCACATATGGAGAATGAAGTGGATAATAATAATTTTCAGTAAAGAGAGGACCTCCATGCTTTGAACCTCATATAGGGCCCTAGGGGCCGGCTTGACCCCCGGCTCTGGCTTATCTTTTATGTACATGTTAATAAAACTTATACGGAATAGATAGATTACTTTATTTAGTACTTTGTATAAATTAATTAATTTCACTTTAATCACCCTAAAAAAATCAAGCACTGTTATTAGTGTTATAATTATACGGAGTAGCACTTTTTGATTAACTAATAACAAAAATAAAGCTTGAGTAATTTTTTTTATTGCTTTGAGCATGCATGATGCATGCCCTAATTTCACTTGCATGTCCAAAACTTTGAGGCCTACCACAAAGTCATTATTGAATAAAAAGGTTAATCAATAATCAATTAGTATCAAACTAAATACTTTTCCATGTACACGACTTAATACTTAGTTAATTAACATGCACAAACCTAAAGATGATTAAAAAAAAATGACTGCTTTTTCTATTCAGATTTGGAAATCGATACGTACATATCTATTATTTATTTTTGAAAAGTACTTAAATGATTATTAACATTTACCATACCTTCATCCATTTGATCAAAATGCCTAATTAATCAATAATTATCTTATGGGTGGATGTTAGCTAGCTAGTATAATTCAGTCGTAACTTGTAAGCACTAAAATTGCGTCATCCATATTTTTATTTATTTGGCCTTTTAATAGTTTTCCCTAATAAAACTCTCTTTAAATTAAAGTGCAAGTGTGAAGAGAAGACTATCTTTACTCAAATATTTATGAGATTTGAGGGGGGGGTGGTTTGAGATTTTGAAAATTAGATGATACACCCGGGTGCACCATGCTCATAGTGCACCCGGGTAAACAAAAAAAGGCGGAAAGAACATATAGTGTTTGATAAAGAACATACCAATGTTTGGCAAAGAACATACTTTTAATATGTTCTTTGAGTGTGATCAGTGTGTACTTTGAGTAAAATTATATGTTCTTTACATTATAACTTATGTTATTTAACATATGTTGATAAACATATATGTTTTTTGGGGTTTAATAATACAAAGTATGTTCTTTGAATTTGGCGTGTATGTTCTTTAAGGTCGTAGTGACGCCCAAATTCTATTTTTATTATCATATGTCATATTTAAATTACTTTTATTATCGTACATTCTTTGAGTTTGATTAGTGTGTTATTTAGGTATTAACTATATGTACTTTACAATATAAATTATGTTCTTTTAACATATGGTATTTTGAAATTTGATATTGAATCTTAAATTATTTTTAATTGAAAATAATATTAGGGTAAAAAAAAACTAAATTATTAAGGGAAGTTGAATTTTTTTTGGAGAGATAGAAAACTATTTTTTGGAAAAATGATATCTTTGGTAAGGATTTTTTAAGAGGTGATCAACATTGGCATGACTCGCATCCCGACCCGATCCGGCCCGAAATAGGGTGGGTTTGGGCAAACCTAAAAATGCATTTTTAGTTAAAACTCAAATCGGGTTAGAAAAAAGCCCGAAAACCCGCTACTTTTCTACGGGTTTGGGCACGATAAATTATGATATGGCCCGGCCCTATTAGATTTTTTATCACCTCTAAATTTTTTCCGTTAATAATGTGTAATTTTTCAGAAAATTTAATTAAGTTTTTATCTCGTTCTTTTAATTATATCTTTATGTTCTTTGGTAATGCATGTTTTTGTCAAATACAAACATGTTCTTTATTAAATACATGTATGTTCTTTATGAAACACAGGATGTTCTTTCCGCCTTTTTTTATTTATCCGGGTGTATGATGAGCACTGTACACCCGTGTGTATAAACCACGGATTATGAGATTTCACTATTTGCAATATTTTTGTTAACTTACAATGTTTACGCTTCCTCTCTTTAAGCTTATGACAAAACCAAAAATGGTTTTTTTTTTTGGTGTTCCACCCGTTTCACCCCTTTGGGCTAATCCGGATTCGGGGATCAGTTCTGGGTGGTTAGGTTCCAGTCCCCTCCAGCTATTGTTGTTGCGGGGGATCGAACACGAGTCCTCCCTACCAAGTGTAGTCCCAATCACCACTACACCAACAACCAATTGGTAAAACCAAAATATGGTAATTTACTAATTTATGTCACGGTTGACAACATTAATTATACTACCTCTGTTACATACTATTTAGAACAATTAGATATTTTCTACTCACATCTTATGTGAAATTGTTTCAAATAATATGAAACAAAGGTAGTAATAACAATGTAATAAAAAGGTAATAAGTTTTATACCATTTTGATTATGTGTAATAGATTGTGTTGTTAATTTGATGAATTTTGTTTAATTGTCTTAACTATACTTAGTAAATTTTAAGTGAGGGCAGAAAAGTAATTGCACAAAAAATACCATAAAAATTAAATCTTTACTTTTTTTTGTTGAGGAAGTATAAATTTTTACTTTGTTGCACAAGATGTGTGATTTCTGATTTTAAAATTTGTTGCACAAAATAAGAAATGGAGGTAGTAACTAAAATTCGATCACAATATTTAAATTGGCCTTAAATAAAATACTCCGAGTCACCAAAGGAATAGGAATTGTGAACATTCTTAAACCGCTTGAGATTACATCAACAATACCGACGATGATCAAAATCATCAAATCAAAAACAGGAAAGATCAACAAAAATCCAACCAACCTTGAAATAGACAGATCAACTTTTTTTTTTTTTTTTTTTGGAGGGATAAATCTTTAAAAAGGTAGTTTAGCATTATTTTTCTTTCTTTCTTTTTTTTTTTTTTTTTTTTTTTTTTTGAGTAATTTGCGAATTTATAATTTACATCAAAAATATCTCAAACACAAAGACAGCAACAAATGGACCACCTAATCGATAACCAGATTACACGTTGTCATAAGGCCCACATTAAGGAAAAAAAAAACTACCATAGCCCAAAATTTGAAAAAAAAAAAAAAAAAAAAAAAACTAAAAGAGAAGAAGAAATTGAAAAAAAAAAAACATGGGCCCGTTCGGGCCAGAGTCGATGACAAATGAGCTTCTCACGTTATTAGATGGTCTAGTAACCGGAGATTTACGATTAAATGTCCGTTTCTCACATTTTAAACAAACTAGACGATCCAATAACTAGAGACATATTATTACACGGAGTCATTACCGCTACCATTGGAACCATCCGATTCGGAACTAGAAATGGCATCGACTAGCCCTTCGGAATTAATCTGGTCCAACACCAACACAAGGCCCATAGCAAAGGCGGCATCAAAACCGGGCTTTACAAGTAACGAAAAGACGTCTTTACCCAACACCACGTTAGATGAAGTGTCCACTTTTCTTCGTATTTCGGCCATAACTTCCCTAGTTGTAGCATCATATATGGTACAACTTCTTTGTATAAATGAACCGTCTATTAAATACTCTTCCCCTGGATTTTGGTACCCTTCTACGGTCACTCCTGACCGTCCGATTATCGATGATCTTTTCACACTAAATATTGGCTTTGATCCTTCGGTTCTTTCTCCGGTGTAACCTTCCCATCTATTGTGCAAGCTTGGTCTCTGTGATTAATTAATAAGGCTTTAATTAAGGTTTCACCGAAATTAATTAACTACACATTAAAGAATAAATCAACATGCTAAGCTACTACATAAGTACTCAAAGTAATCAAATCGACCGACATCATTACATAAAAAATACTTGTATCGTACGAAAATTGAATTGGTCAATGCCTCACAACTTGTAATTCATTTGGTCAATGCAAGTAGTAGTAATTAGTCCAATTCAACTTGTAATTCATTTTCATAGCTTAGTGATTCGTGAAACTTTTCAAAATGTACTCATAACTTACTAGTATAATACTACCTCCGTTGTTTTTTTTTTTTTTTTTTTGGCATTTTTGAAATATTTTATATCTCTAAAATAGTATTTCAAAATTACACCTAAAAAAAATCGGAGGTAGTATACTATTTTCAAGCATAAATTATACTCCGTACAAAGTAACCTAACTATACTGGTCTTTGAGGACGTGTTTGGTATGTAAAAATGCGAGTTAAAAGAGTAGACAATGGCCTAGGATGGGGATTGATACTACAATCGAACTTAAATCAAAATGCTCATTATTAAATTATTCCTATTATGGAATAAATCCCTAGTTTTGTACTACATAAATGCATAGTTTTTCTTAATCATGCGCACTTGCTTTCTAAAAGTGTTATATTGAGTTTGAAACTTTTTATGCTTTTAACACTTATGAAAGTTTCAATAATTGCTTTATTTTGTCCAATAATACTAGTATTAGTATGTACTTGAGAGTGAAAGATTGATATACACTAAATTTTGATGAAACATCAAACACTACTAGTAGTACTCCATAACTATTACGGACTAACATCATATAATGATATAACCCGTGATTTATAAATTTAGGTACGGAGTATATTCAAAGTAATAACTTCTGAACCGCATATATCAAAACCGGAAATATAAATCGACAAATTGATAATGAATAATGTTCCTAATTTCAAATTTTTCCTAAGATCCAAATAGAACATCATACTAAAAGACGAACCAAAAATGATCATAACTTGACTATACTAAAATTGAGGCTGGAAAAAAATAGGATTTGGAATATTCATTATTTGTGTGGATAGGCTGAAGATAAATTATATCAAAATTATTAAAACCAGGCATATTTCTAAATTCTAATACATCATTATTTAAAACTGGTACCACAATAAAAGTAGAGGTACAAATTCTTGAAACATCTAGATCTTAATTTGTACTTTGTACTATTCTAACTCACGAGTTGACTCTGATCTAATTGAACGAGTCACAACTAAATTATTCAAAGAATCAAGAATCTAATTGATACCCATTAACCCAAACCACAATTTGGAACTACCCTTTTCTTTAATTTTTATAAAGTCAAAATAAAAACCGTCAAAATAAAGATAATCACAAGTACTTAACCCACTAACTCAACTCAATATTCATCATAAATTTTTTTTAAAAAAATAATGGTTAAATAGTCTTAATACATTCAGGGGTGGATCTTTGTTGAAGGCGGGTAGGTAACCAACCCCCGAACTTTATTTTGAGTTATTAGATATGGTATAAAAATTTGTTGTTTAAAACAAATTTGGTACTACGTAGTAAATAAAATATTGTATAAGTAAAGTTACGATATGATGATATGATTAAATATACGAAGAATGAGTAAATATAAAAAACAAACCTTACGACGAACGGTGAGAAGGCAATGACCGGAGGCATCCATAAGAACGATTTCATCTTGATCACGCCAATCGGGACCATACGAGTCGACTCGAAAGACGAGATCACCGTGGTTATCATAGACCGTAAAACCATCACCCGTAAAGAATAGAGATGTTTTACAAACAGTGAAATGTGTTTCTTCCTTAGAAATAAAACCACTTTCTCCCACCTTCATTGTTGTTGTTTTGAAATTTCTTCGTCGAATAAACTCCGTTTTGAAATAATAAACTCGAGAATGAAAATACGGGATATTAAAGTCTACACCAAGGACGCGGGATGATGAATGGTGTAATATCTGAGGGGGGCCAAAGGTTGATACGTTAGTAAATGAGAATGTGTGATGAGAAATGTACAAGTGCAAAGAAAGATAGTTGCTCATATAAATACCAACAAATTTGGAGGACCCCGCTAAAATAGGGACTTTTGCTTTACGTCAATTTAAAGAAAAATAAATTAAAAGCGAGTTAAATAATTTATTATTTTTTTAAAAAATAAAATAAAATAAAATAATTGTAATACGCAGAGTTATTTGAGAATTGGAGACAACTATGCAAAAGTAGGATTCTTTTCGTTATTGGCTGAATCGACTATACTTAACTCGTTAATTCAAACATCAAATATCTTCCCATTCAAACTTGTTCATTCTTCTTTGCTCATTCCTCACACTTTCACTAAAGAATGTAAAGATGGATTGGATTGTTCATGGGATTATGGGAGCATGTCTAATAGTACACACTAATGACCGTATCTTCTATTAACGTTTATCACGACACGTAAATTTATTATATGATACGAGTAAATTAAATGACGTCCACGCAATACACGGTTTATTTGTATTTTTTTAAAATAAATATTTTTTGTATTTATGTGATAAAATTTATTATTTAAATATATTAATTTTAAAATAAATGGTGAATTTCTTCTCATTCATTATATATTTTAATAAAATTTTAAATTTCAAAAGATAATATTTTATATTTAATTTATAATAATACACACGAATGATCGGATCTTGTATTAACGTTTATCACGACACATAGTTTTATTGATAAATTTTTTGATATAATAAAGAAAAGGCTAATGTATATTTATTTTAATCAAAAAGGGATACATTAACAATTTTATCATTGAGGATTTTATGAGGTGTAGAATATTTTATTTTTCATATAATATGATACAAAGTGTGTGTGGAGGAATCAAAAACATTTGTGTATGTGTATGTTAGACTAGAGAATACCCTTTTTTATTTTATTTTTTTTATCGTTGCTTTTTAATTAACAATACTCCACTATAAATATAGAATTGTGAACTAGATTTTTTTTTTTTTCCTAATCATATACTTGTACTACTTAATATACGGAGCGAGTATCAAAGAATATATAGAACTAGATTTAAGGAGAATACTCACTCTTTTTATACACCTTTCAACAATATCATGATTTAAGAAGTATTTTCTAAAGATTTGTAACCAGAAGAAATTAAAATGAAAATTTAGAAACATTTTCAAGTAAATTATGTATATTTTATAAGAAGTATATCTTTTATTTTGAAAGGAAAAAGGAGTGTGATACTAACTTTATGTTTAATGCTTATTCTTCACCTCATCTAATAAACTTAATACTTTAATTAGCATGCAAACCTTATTTTATAAACTTAATTAATACTTTGCAAAAAAAGAAAATTTGATTAGTCTATTTTACGATTTTACTGTTAGTTCACCTACCAGCTAGCAAAAATTGATGTACAAGGATTGTCTAATTTAATAGCATGCATGCACTTTATGAAAATTTCAAAAACTTATATGAAGTGTAAAAAAACTTATATTTAAATTCAAAACTGGGGATCTTCAAAACATATATGAATATATTCAAGGCCTGTTCTTTTCAGCTTAAGTTTAATTTAATTTAGTTCTTAATTTTTTTTCTCTCATAAAATATTCAGTTCAGTTCAGTTTAAGTTCTTAATTTCCTTCTCTCATAAAATATTCAGTTCGGTTCAGTTGTTCAGTTTAGTTCAGCTCCAATCAGTTCAGTTCAGCTCGATCCAGCAAATTAGAACAGTCCCTTGGTACATATATTCTTTCTCTAATTTTGATAGGAAACTTATTTTGATGACACACTAAAATTGGTTTTAGCAAATCTCTATGCTCACACGACAATGGGTGTGTCAAAATCAATAAACAACCTTTGGGGTGCTAAAATCATTTCACAATAATAATAATAAAAAATTGTTATTCCTACCTTAGAAATTAGAACACATATACATTGTCCCTTAAGATGATCTTTATTCCTTCAAGTAGGCCTTATTTTTTTTCATTTTATTCCTTAAGTCGATAATCACATGTAGTTCATGAAATGAAGTAATGAACTATACTTGTTGGAATAAATAGGACAATTTTGTTCATAAAATCTTTCAGTTGGTGTTTTATTTAAATTAAAGATTAATAGTTGAGCTTTTTTTTTTAATAAAAAAAAAAAAACATTACTAAATTTTTTAAAGCTAAGGTCTGCTTACCTTTATTTGTTTTTAATTGACAAGCTTTTTTTTAACAATATCAATTCATTAAATTTAATTGACACGGTTATTAATATGTGCTTTCTAGTTTAATAAAAGCATAATCACATGAAATCTTGTTAGATTTATCTCTGTATAAATTTTGTCAACTTTTCTAAAAAATTTCTTATTGAAGCAGTCCGACTTGTGTGTGCTCGGCCATACTGCGTGACCAATTATAAAAGAACAAAGTAACCCCTATATGCTGACTATGTAATCCCTATAACACTGATGACTGAATAATAAGGGTCTGCTCTGATTTACTAAACTAAACTGGACTGTTTATAAGATAAGAAAATTAGAAACCGAATTGAGCTAAACTGAACTGAAATTAAGCTGAAGAGAACACGTCCTAAGCTCCTAACCCTATAACACTAACTCAGTAACCCCTTTAACGCAAACTAAATAGCCCCAATTACACTAACGAAGTAGCCCCTACAATGGTTGGGCACATCATGTGACCAGCCACATATAAGAACTTGCGTATTGATATACTAGTAGAATTATTAAATTGACAAATGTGTTAATGGAAACATAACAGCTACAAATAAAAGAACGGAAAAAGCATAACATTATATTTATTAATTTTTATAAGCAATCTAAATAAACTCCTCGATTAGAGTGATTTCCATTGATCAATATTTATAGGGTTACAATGAGAAACCTAATCATATTAGGTAACATAAGATATGTACAGATATCAAAGATAATCTTATACAAAATATATTCTAAACCTAAGATGAGAATATTCTATGGATATTCTCTATCACACCCCCGCAGTCGGAGCGGGAGAAAATCGGATGCTCAGACTGGATTTGAATCACGCATCGAGCGGTAAGGATAGTATGGTAACCCTGATCAAAAGGGAAGTAGTAGACATGTGCCGGTGATGACGTTGGGAAGCAACAGATACGACCTACATAGAGTAGAGATAAGCACTGCTAGGTCGGATGAGAAGGAGAAGAGCCGCACACAGACTTGGGCTAAGTTGCAGATCTAGAGAAGAAGAAGAAGAAGCTAAGGGATCAAACCATCATCGGAGAGAAGACACTACACTACTATGTGAAATCAATTTAAACTTTTGATTGAGTTGGTCCTTTAACAAAATAAATAAGAATACTAGCTTGAACTAAGCTTAATGAGTAATGACTAATGTCATCACAAAATGCATAAAATAAATTGACATAAAATTTGAATAAATATAGATTTATGACAAAATGACAGCACTCTAAATTCAACGAAAAAGCAAGTTGCTATGCACTTGCTATTCCATGCGAAAAATCAAGTATATCACTACATGCAACTTACCTAAGTTCGTATATAAAAGTCAGAAATATAATACGAATTAGAAATTTTGAAGTTTATTTTCACTTTAAAATGTCAAGATTCAACAAATCCAACACCCACTAGTACTAACTATTGAAAAAATTCATTACCATAAACTTGTTTCAATTTGCCAAGTAGGAAAATCGCACCGTATCATCTATCTATCTATTTCATGGAATTGTTTTTTTTTTTTTTCATGGAATTGTTATATGAATGTAAACATTCTCAAGAAATTCTAATCATTTTAAGGTACACCACTCACTATAGAAGGAAAAAAAATGTTAGAATATGTTTTCAATCAGATTGTCTTTTCGAGTGACCCAATTACTCAACCTAATCATCATATCAGCCAATTTTGTATTTCCATGGGTATATTCCTTTTGTTTTATTGAATTATATATGCATACATAACTCTCTATTTCAATTTAAAATCTTTAGTTAGTTTTCTTTGGAAGAAAATCGATAATTAATATCTCCATGTCTTATACTTTCTCCGTTTTTTTTTAGTTGACACGTTTCTTTAGTCACGTTTGTCAATGCATAAATTCAAACATTAATATTTTGAAAATATACATTGTGACGAATTTAACAAAATCCCAATTGATTATATTTTTCTTCATATGTAAATCACAAAACATGCATGATCAAAGGGAGGTACGTGAATAATGCTAAAGTCATAACGTATTAACTAATAAAAAAATGGAGGTAGTATTTCATTAGTAAGTCACGCGCTCACGCATTATATATATGAAGTATATCACTATTGCTCTTATTTGTTGATTTTGCATATGATAAAACATAGTCAATTTCAATATTACATTAAATAATAGAGTACTTTGTATGTCTCAATTATATATCTTGCGCAATAAGGACATGCATGCATCATAATTTTTAAAAGGAAATGACCAAGCTAAGCAAGATTATATTCTGCAAGAAGATTTAATTTGACCACTTAATTATGCATTCTTTCTTATTATTTAATTTGCTAAGCTTTTCATACAAATTATTCTCTAAAGCATAAAAAAAATGTGTACTATATAATTCATGTACCTCGTATCATCTAGGCATAAATATGCATGAAAATCATGATAAAATAAATAATTAATTTCAAATGAATGATTAATTATACGTACTCTAAAGTATACGTGCAGATGCTGAGAAAGACTCAATAAATCAAAGTTATTGGTGGGCCTGACTATCTTGCATGGTACACAATAAGCTGTGGGTTTGAATTGGACACTTGGAAAGTTTGTTTTACAATTATTTTGGTCATTGATTGTTTCTTTTATCAGGAAAAAAAATGGAAATTTTAATATATAATAATAATAATAATAATAATAATAATATACGGAGTATTTATTTTAGAATGTGGTGATGAAAAATCTATTTCCCAATTTTGTTCTAATGTACCAAGCTAAGTTTGGTGCTTTGTTCTATGGCAAGGATTGTATTTTCCAATTTTGAGTTAGGGTCTGTTCTCATA